CAGTGGCAGGGGGTGTTGTTTTAGGCCCCCCTTCCTGAGACACAGCAGCCCTGAAACACACAGAGTGGGTGGGTGGGTCCCGCAGAAGGCAGCCCAGGGTTGGGCCAGCCTGGCCTACTTACGATGGTGTCACACCAGAACTCAGCCACCTCGCGGACCCGCATGGACGTCAGCAGGAGCTCCCAGACCTCCAGCTTGAACATGTTCCCGATGATCAGGTGCATGGGCTGCCCCGCCTGCTTGCTGTCGTCGATCACCGTCCGCTCCTCGTCGCATTTCATGGTGCGGAAATGGAAGGTCACCTGGTCCCCGAGAGAGTGGGCCCTGGTCTAGACACACCTCCCGAGGCCCAGCAGGAGCCACCCCTCTGTCACCGACTCTCAGGGCTGGCCTCAGGGTCCGCTCCCCAGCTCCGGTCAGATGCCTCAGAGCACCCAGAGCACCCCCGCCCACCTGCACTCCCCCAGGGATGAGGAACCCCCTCCCCGATAAGTGACCCTCGTCCCACTCTTGACAGCTCTGTGGGTCAGGATGTCCTTCCTTAAATCAGCCCTAGGTCTGAGGCCCCAGACACAGCCCATCACCCAGGGAAGCCACCAGAGACTTGCGGCCAAACACCATGATCCCGGAGAGCACCTCCTTCTCACCTTCTCACTCAACATCTGGGGCTCCAGAAAACTCCCAAAGCCCATCCCCCATCCCATGCTGTAGTTTAATTTGCAAAGTACCAAAATGCCCAGTGAATAGACACCCGTTCAGATGCCTCGGGGCTCACAATCCCAGGAAGGGCCTGCCCGGCCATTCTTGGCAAAGCTGAGACCTGTCTGCAGTGCTGTCTGCAGTGCCCTGTGGCCAAAGGGCTGCAGAGGCTGCTGTGGCCGGGGAGGGGGGGAGGGGGGAGGGGGCCCCACTCACTCGAGTTCCGGTGATGAAGTTTGGGAGCTCCCCCAGGCCCCCGTGCAGAATGGTCTTCTTGACCCCTTCCACGTTCAGGAGCAGAGCGGCATCCATGGCTGCGGGAGCTGTCCAGCCCGGGCTGATATAATCTCACCAAGGGAAGGCGCTCAGGCTAAAACCCGGGGATTTGCCCTGCGGGGGAGGGGAGGGGTGCGAATTAGAGAAGTAAGGCAGGGTGGTGCCCCATGCTGGCTCCAGGCTGCTCCTCCCTCCCTCAGGGCCACTCCCTGGCAACCCTGCCTTCTGCCCCATCCATCCACTGCTTCTCTCGGGGATGGGAGCCCAGGCCTGACATTATTGCATCAGCTTTGGTTTTGTCCCACGTGAAGAAGAGAGGAAGTCGGCTGGAGCCTTCTTAAAAAAGACAGCATTGAGGGAGCGAGCAGTAGTGAGGACTCGGGCCACCGAAGGAGAAAAGGAGAGACTGACACAAAGCCCCTCGCCCTGCCTGTCCCTGGCGGTGGCCCTGGACTCAGGTTCTTAGTCTCTTTGAACCCCAGGCCGGGCCCTGTGGACTGGGTGGTCCCTGCTTTCCCTCTTTTCTATTTCTCCCTCCTCTTCTCCCCAAACTCTATCCACCCACAGGAGGACAGGACGTGACATTGTGGAGGGAGAGGATTGGCAGGTTTCTAGTTTGGGAGAACACTGAAACGGTATGAAAAGCAGGGCAGCTTGGATAAATTTGAGGAGCCCTCCCCAGCCCCATTCCAGCCTCTCCTGCAATGTCTGGCTGGGGGCAGCGGGGCTCTCCCCTCCTTTGGGGGTGGGGGGGGGGGGAATCCGCAGAACTTATTCGGAGTATCAGGGATCCCCTTTCTGCTCTCAAGTGAAAAATCATGTAAAGAGTTTGTGTCTGGCGCCACCTTGTGGCAGATTCAAATTTTTTTTACCTGGTCTTTCCAAGGTCCTGAGGGTGATGAGGATTGTTTCTGGCACCACAAAACCTTTCTCTGCTGGACCCCGGCTGACTTGTTTCCTAGAGATGGGAAGAACCCTGCCAAGGGAGAGATGGGAGTGCCGGAGGAGCCAGGCAGCTGCATGCGAAGGGCTGACCTTGTGGCTTTAGGTGTCTCCTATCCCCAACTCCGTTTCCCCAACTGAAACGGGAAAATCACTTTCCTGTCTCCCTCTCCTGGAAGTTGAGAGGCTTCCCTTGAGCAGTGAATGGAACCCCAAAACCCAGCACCCCTGAAAGTCTCCCATAGCGGCTGGCACAGGGGAAGCCCAGCCTGGGCCAACTGGTCTGGGCCCAGGAGCCCAGACTGAGGCAGCAAGTCAGACCCCTCCAAGACTCCCCCCCACACCCAGTGCTCAGACCCCAGCTTCCTGAGGGCCCAGCTCCGGTCCTCTCTGGAGGCAGGGAGTCAGGGTGGGGGGCAGAGATCCTCCTCTTCTGTCCCATCCTTTCTTGGCCACACAGCAACCTAGAAAACCTAAAAGGGGCCTGGGGG